CGAGCGTGCCGGCTCTGCTTTCCCGATATTTTAACAACCCTGTGCCTTCAACCAGCAGCTGCCTTAACGTACAGGTTTCTATGGAATGAAGATGCTCTCCCCAAACAGTTGTTCTGTGTGGGACATGGTTTGCTCTTCCCAGGAAGCCCTCTCTACACAGCTCGGTGAATTTTCTTGGACCTGCTCAGGTCTCTTCCTGTTAGAGAACAGAGGCAGCATGTGACATAGGTGATATCACTGCCAGCACCTCCAGTGGTTCTCAAACCAGATGATATAATCACCTCTAGAGCAGCTATAAGCCCAATGCCCAGGCCTCAAAACAGACAACATGAACTGGTACCTTTTGAAGGAGGATTCAGGCTTGTGCACCTATTAAGATTCACCAACTGAGTCCAGTGTGGCCCAGTGTGAGAATAAGGCATCCTACACCTTATCATCATCGTCCATGCAGGGGATTGACACGGTGCATTGTTAGTGTGCATATGAAGACCCGTGGATCTGGGAGGGCCAGAGATTCTGTATTTTTAAGCCTTAGGTCCTCCGAAGCTCCCCTTTCCCCTCAGTTACAAAATCCATCTTACTTTTTCTTTTTTTCGTTTTGTTTTTTGGCCACACGGCATGTGGGAACTTACTTCCCTGACCAGGGCTCGAACCTGCGCCCCGTGCATTGGAAGCAGGGAATCTTAACCACTGGCCTACCAGGGAACTCTCCACAAAATCTATCTTGAGTAAAAATAAATGTTAAGATGATCTTCAAGGCTTAGAGATAAAAATCACGTACAACATGTCTTATATGATAGAACTTTACTAAACTTGAAAGAAAATTTGAAAACAAAGCTTTATAGTGACATTTAATGAAACATAAGAAGCAGAGCCGTGGGAGTGTCCCCACCATGATTTACAGTGAAAGACTCCACAGAATCCACGAGTCTCATCTCAGGACAGGGCACTGCTGACCTTCTGCAAAGCACAGCGTTGGGCCCTTTAGCCAGGTTCCAAAAGTTCAGACATTTGCACCAAATACATATTACTTCCATAGCTTCCTATTTACACAATAGTTAAAAATTACTCCTAGAATTTGCCTCAGTTACTTAAAATAGATTCAGACTGACAAACGACTTGCCATTCCAGCGTGATAAACACCATTTGACAGATGGCATCAGGAGAAGGTGCAGTGCGTGCACGTGTGTGTCGCTGGGGCTTGTCTGGGTTTCCAGCACCGTTCGCCCAGCAGGGCTGCGGAATCGCTGCTTCTCCAGGAGCAGCTGCTCTTTGTGACTCCCCCTCGTCAGGTGCACAGTCACCTCCAGGGCACCTGGGGCTGGAGGACAAGCCTTAGCTGCCATTGGCGTGTCCTTCCCGGTCGCTGTCTTCCGAGGAAGAAGACACCTGAAGGTCATCGTAGAGGACACTCCGGGGGCCAGGGGCCCAGTGTCCCTCAGGCTTGCTGCCAGTGGTAGGAGGGGCTGACTGCTCAGGACGAGGCAAGGAGGGAGGCGCCACGTACCTGCTGCTCCACCGGCCTTCGTCTACTCTCACAAAGAGCATCCTGAGAGGCTGGCCTGGAACATGGCTGATGGGTGGAGGATGGTGTCTGGTGCAGGCTTGGACACTATCGGGGTGAGGTCTGTCCAGTGGAGGTTTGAGGGCAAGGCTTTGCCCCTGGGCAGGTGTCTTCCTGCTGGCTTGGGGGGTCCCTGTGGGTCCAGTTGTACTGGGTGGAGGAGGGAGATTCTGGAAAGCCCCCAGATCTGCTGTCGGAGTGCTCTTCTGGGGAGCCTGGATGGGGCTGAGTCTAGGTTTCTTTGGGGGGTTCAGACATGTCTGGATGGGGATCTGGGCAGATCTCTTGCCTGGGGCCTTGATGCTGCTTTTGGAGTCCTGGACCAAACTTCTGCTGATGAGAGACACTGCAGGGTGGGTGCATTTCCTGTCATCTTTCCTGACAGGTGACCTACTTGGGAGATCTGGATCCTGGAGGGGTTTCCTCTTGGATGCCTGGATGAGCGTGGGCATGTTTGGATGCTGTAGGAGAGGACCGAACAGAAAGGCCAGACATGAGAATCTTCTCTCCATCCAGGAAAAATTAAAATGAACCAAAAACCATCTCATAGGAATTAACTGTATGTGATGAGATACTCAACCTCAGTGGTGCTCATGAAAAAGAAAGTTACAATATCACCTTGAGACATTTATACATCAGATAGGCAAATAGAAAGAGTTTAACAATGTCTCTTGTTAAGTGAGTGGAAACAAGCTTTTTGTATACCCCCTTCCGAGGGCTGCACACAACTTGGTGTTTTGCAGGCACTTTGATAGCAAAATAAGTTTTGATGGCCAGTTTTGGAGGATGAATCACAATTTACAGATTCGTGTTCTAACTTAAAGCATTCTGCTTATGGAAAGCTGCTGATAAAATCACTTCCATTTACCAAACAGCATATTCTTGCCAGCCATGCAAGTAAGAATGCAAAATCAAAGAAACCGAGGAAAATGGCATCTGAAAAGTCCCTCTAAATGATCACATTGGTTGGAAAATTATGTGACCCGCTCCCTCCCACAGAAGGGGATAGAGGCCAATTGTGTTACCCCAGAAGAAGAAAGAGCGGGAACCAGGAGACTGACCCCCAGGTAGTGGCAGGATTCTGTCCCCTCCTTCCAGCACTGCTGCCGCCACCCTTGGGGTTTCCTGGGAAACCTCTGGAGTAGCTTCCTCTGCTGCTCTTCTTTCCTGCAAAACAAACCACGTTACGGGGAAGAAACCCAATTTCCTTGTCACAATTGGGGCCAGCGGTGCTGTGGCCCAGCCCCTTTCCAAGTCTGGGGGTCGCACCGGACCTGAATCCCTGTGCTCTGTGAAGACTCCTCCCCTACTCATATCCTTCCCCCCACTTCAGAGTTCCCTCTTGGGTTTCCCAGGAAGTCCTGTCTATTTGTCCCTATGGCCTTGGGGCCTGTCAGGTGCAAAATTGCATGTGTTCTCCGCACCCCTCAGTGGCTTCAAGGCATACTCTGAGCTCCTGAGTGTGGCCCCCTCGGGACACGGCTCCTGTTCCCCCACTTTCCCTGTCATTTCTAGAGGTGGCGCGGCACCCAGTGTAGAGAAGGAGCGGAGCCGTCTCCAGCGATTTCAGCCCGAAGCTTGGGTACCACCCACCCCACTGCTCACCTTCGCCTTTCACCCTTCTCTCTCTCAGCCGTGTTAGGGGTCCCGGGGGTCTGCAGGTCCTGCAGCTTCCGTGGTTCCAGGTTCTCCTTGCCGAGTTTGGAGCCCAAGGGCTGGGGGGCCAGGGCCCCATGCCAGCGCTTCATGGGGCACCTGAGGCTCCTCGCTTTGTGCCCAAAGGCTCCGCAGTCCCTACACTTCACCTGTGGGTGGAGGGGACCAAGGTCAGTGAGTCAGCGGAGCCCACAGGTGCGTATATGCAAAGTGAACACAAGGACAGATGGAGGGGGATGAACGCTGGTTCTGGAGAAAGGACAGAAGCACGCGGCCGCTTAGCTGCCAGGATATTTATGATACTGTGGTGCTTCCCAAAGGCTTCGCCAGGGAGCATCAGAGGAGGAAGGGCTGGTGCTCTAAGTGTGCACAGCAAGACCCCGATTGAAGGATTTGGATAAAAGCAGGCCAGACATCACACTAAGGAGGGGTCAGGTGGCCCCCGTCTCCGAACGGCCCGGTCTCCCTGGGGATGAGGTCCCGAGGCAGCTGTCTTTGGGTGGGGCTGGGCAAGGGAGTTATGGACCCAGGTATTCCAGGCCCAAACCCTGTTTCCGGAGTCCATGCCTCCACTTACCCTGGGGTCTTCGTCCTTTGGCGGGGGAGCCGCCTGCCTCCCTGCGCCCGGGTTTTGCTTCCCCACTTGCTGGGCTTGAGAGAGTTTGCAGGGACCCAGCTGTCTGCAGCGACCGGCCATGTTCCCCGCTCCTCGGTGCTTCTCGCCAATCTTACTTTTTGGATTTCCTCTGTATAAAGAAAGAGAAAACTGTCATATTCGTACAAGTCACCCCTGCCCCCTCCACACAAATGGGGTCATGAAACCTCACGACCACTAAGGAAATCCAGGTTTCTGATACTTTGACTTCTCTGCCCAGACATTTCTCCATTCTCTCCAGATACCTACGCACAGATGAGGACCCTGACTTGGTTAGAAGTTTTACGCAGAACTGTGAATTTGGATTTGCATCCTTGAAAGACTAAAGTTAGAGACTTTGGTTACATGTATCACAGTCTAATAGATAAATCTAAAAGATTTCCCCACACGTACAGAAATACTTATGCTATGGAAAGGCCACATTTAATATTGACGCCCAGGCATTTGAAAACCAAACATAAGTTTGATAACTCCTTGAGAATTGGGCTCTCCCATCTGACATCAGAGAAGGCAATTCTCAAATACAAATTCACGTAACACAATTATTTTCTCCTCTGCTAGCTTAGACGGGGCACAACGCAGAGTCTGAACTGTTTTCTGAATCCTTCACCCTCAGTGTCTCACTTTTACCTAGTTAATAAAATGTGAAATACATGTTTCAACTGAGGATGAATGAATAACTTTTTAGGCTGTCAATGCCTACAGACAATCCCAGCAAGTTTTCATAACTGCTCATCCAGTGCCCCACATCAATCAGAATGCTAGGATGCTAAATTCCTTAGAATTTGAATCTTCACGAAATAAGAGCATTCAGAAGGATATATTTTTTCAGCCTCTGTTCTCAAAACTGCTACTGAAGTTAAATGATCTAGATCATTATCTGGCACCATATGTAAAACTCAACACAAAATCGGTGAAAGATTTGAAGATAAGACCTGAAATTGTAAAACTCCTAGAAGAACACAAAAGATAGATGCTCCTTGACATAATTCCCAATCAATGGAAAAAGGGATAAGGAAACAATAGTTTGTATATACTGTGGAAATCTATTCAGCCATAAAAAAAGTTGAAATCTTATTTTCCGGAACATGGATAGAACTTACTCTTATGATGCTAAAGAAGAAAGTCAGAGGCTGAAGGTGAATACCAAAGGACTTCACTCATGAGTAGGATAGTAAGAACAAACAAAAAGGAAATAAAGCAGCAAATTGGTGAACAAACCAAATGACAAAAACAAACGTATAGATTCACAGAACAGAGTAGTGGATACCAAGGAGGAAACGTCAGGGGCCAAGGCACAATGGTTAAGGTGGTCAAATGTGTAGTGACAGTGGGAGAGGAAAATTTTGGTGGTGAGCCTGTGTTAAGGTTTACAAAATTTGAGATGTAATACTGTACAAATGAAACATCTAATATTGACACCCACTGTTAATGCAATTAAGAAAAGAAAATTATAAAAATAAAGTCACCCTGGGACTTCCCTGGTGGCATACTGGTTAAGAATCCACCTGCCAGTGCAGGGGACATGGGTTCGAGCCCTGGTCTGGGAAGATCCCACATGCTGCAGAGCAAGTAAGCCCGTGAGCCACAACTACTGAGCCTGTGCTCTAGAGCCCATGTGCCACAACTACTGAAACCTGCGTGCCTAGAGCCAGTGCTCTGCAACAAGAGAAGCCACCGCAATGAGAAGCCCGCGCACCACAACTAAGAGTAGCCCCCACTCACCACAGCTAGAGAAAAGCCCACATGCAGCAACAAAGACCCAACACAGCCAAAAATAAATAAATTAATTAAAAAAAAAAAAGAGAGACCTTACCCTATTGCCAGGCCAAATCACTGCATATCTTCGCTATGGACTGATTGCTCTGAGGGATATGCTGAACACAAATTTAAAGCAAACTATCCTAAAGTCCAGCTGTGCTCCTCCTCTCTGTCAGGAGAGTATCAGGGAGGTAGGTGGAGGAATGCAACTTTGAAGGGGGCTGAGGACGGGTCAAGGGGGAATTTCCTCTCCTAGCTGACCTGTTAATGCTCCAAGGTCGCATGACCTTGTTAAGGGTTGCTTAACCAATCAACATCATCCATCACCTTTGGTCTGACCATGTCTGAAGACATGTTAAGAGAAAGAAATAATTCGTGATTTCACTCGTATGGAACACAAAAAACAAACACAAAGAAAATAAGTAAAAACAACTTTAAGGAAGAAAAAAATTGACACGATAGCAAATACAAAGATACACAGACCCGAGTAGTAGAAATCAGAGGAGAAGCCACGGGCAGAGGCAAAACGGACAAAATGAGGCAGCTAGGTGGTGACAGAGGAAAACTGCATTTTTGGTGCTGAGAAGGTGTATGGTACACAGAAACTGAAATGTATTGCTGTGCACATAAAACTTACTAAAATTATAATGGAATGATACCTAAGCTAAAAAAAAGTTTAATTAAAGTAAAAAGAAATTAAAGAATCGTTACTCAACTGCCTAAAGCCACATCGCTATGTAATTTTATTCTTGTCCTGTTTCCTTGAGGGACTAGCTGAACACCAAATTTAAAGCACACAACATGAAACTCAGCTAGATACCTCTTCTCTGTCAGTAGATGCTCAGAATGGTGGGTGCTGGACACTCTCCACCTGAGGAGATGCAGCTTTGTGGGTGGCTGAGGAAGGAATTTCCCTTTCATGCTGACTTTATACTACTCTAAGGTCACAAGACCTTGATGAGATTTTTTTAACCAATTAACATTATATGTCACCATGTATTTATCAATGTCTTGAAGACACATTTAGAAAAGAGAACTATCTTATGAATTCACTTATATGTGGAACACTAAACACAAATACAGAAAGCAAATAAGTAAAAAAAGATTAAAGAGGAAAACAAATGACACAAAAACAAACACATATATTCACAGAACAGAGCGGTGGATATCAGAGGGTAGGATCAGGGGGGTGGCTAATGAGTAAAATGGGTCCACAGGATGGCAACAAAAAGACTTAAGTTTTTGGTGTAAGCAATTTAATGGTATACTGGGGTTGAAATATATTTTTGTGCACATAAAACTTATCTAACATTTTGACTGAATGATACCCTACAAAAATAATTAAATTAAAAGATTAAAGCATCTGCACCCCATTGCTTAAACCACATCAGTACATATTTTGTCTACTGTTGGATTTCTCTGACAGACAAGCTGAATGCCAAATTTAAATCAAACAACCTGAATCTTAGCTGTGTACCTCTTATCTGTCAGTAGATGCTCAGAATGGTGGGTGCTGGATACTCTGTGCACCTTTGAAGGGGGCTGAGGACAGGTTAGTGGGGGAATTTCACTTTCACACTGCCTTTGATTCTGCTCCCAGGTCACATGACCTTGATGAGGTTTTTCTTAACCAATCAAGGTTACATATCACCTTTACTCTAATAATGTCTTGAAGACACATTTAGAAAAGACAAATACCTTACGATCTCACTCATATGTGGAACACTGTATACAAAAAAAAATGAAATGAGTAAAAAAAATTAAAGAAGAAAGATTAAAGAAGAAAGCAAGTGACACAAAAACAAACACATATATTCACACCACAGAGTAGTGGATATCAGAGGGTAGCAGCAGGGGGATGGCCAATGAGTAGGATGGCAAAAGAAAAAACTGAAGTTTTTGGTGCTGATCATTTTTATGACATACTTGAGTTGAAATATATTTTTATACCTATAAAACATGTAATATCATAACCCAATGATACCATAGAAAAATAAATAATCACATTAAAAATTAAATTATCCATGACTCATTGCATAAAGCCACAACTATGCATATTTTGTCTAGAGTCCTGTTTCTCTAGGGGATACGCTGAACACCAAATAAAATCAAACAACCTGAAATCCAGCCTGGTACAGGAGTTGAAATATATTGTCATACACATAGAACTTATCTAATATTATAACCAAAAAATACGTCATTAAAAAAGTCTACTGGGGCTTCCCTGGTGGCGCTGTGGTTGAGAGTCTGCCTGCCGATGCAGGGGACACGGGTTCGTGCCCCGGTCCAGGAAGATCCCCCACATGCTGCAGAGCGGCTCGGCCATGAGCCATGGCCGCTGAGCCTGCGCGTCCGGAGCCTGTGCTCCGCAACGGGAGAGGCCACAACAGTGAGAGGCCCGCGTACCGCAAAAAAAAAAAAAAGTCTACTGAACAATAAATTGAAAAGAAATTAAGGAATCCATATCCTTTGCCCATAGCCACATCATTATTTTTACCACTGCCCTGTTACCTGAGGAACAAGATGAACACCAAATATACAGCGAATCAACCTGAAATCCAGCTGGGTACTTCCTGTTGGTAGATCATCAGAAACATGTGTGTTGGGCAAACCCCACTGGACACAGTGTGGGTTCCAAGGTGCCTGAGGAAACGTCCATGGGGGAAGGGTTCTTTTCTTGATTACTGTTATACTACTCCAGGTCATGTGACCCTGTTAAGACATTTGTAGCCAAGGAAAGATATCTATCCCTTTTTTTCTTACCCTGTCTCTAAGGGAGGTTTATACATTGTGATTTATTGTTATCATGCATTTTAAAACTAGAGGGACACCTGTACATACTTTTAAGAATAATTACGATCTGAAGGAAAATTAAACATTTTTGCATATGCTTATTTTTTCTGAGAATCACAATTTTTACTGTGGTAAAACATGCATGGCATAAAATTTACTGTTTAATCACAGTGAGGTGCCAAGTCCTATGGCATCAAGTGCACTCATGTTATACTGTAGCCACCAGCACCATCCATGTCCTGATAAAAAATAGACAGGAAAAAGAAAGACAACATTTCCCCACATGGAACAAATAATTATGCGATGAGAAAGCTGCATTTAATATTGTGGTACATGCATTTGAAAATCAAGGGAAACTATGCTTACTTCTTGAAAATTCGACTTTCCCATCGGACATCAGAGCAGGCCATTATCAAGTACAAATTCACTCAGGAAAAACATTTCCTCCTCTATTAAACTAGAAGCTTCACAGCTGAGCTTTAAATCTTTTCTTGTCACTGTTTCTTTTTTATCTAGTTTCTGTTAATGGAAGACAAAGAGGTTTCAGCTAAGAATGAACAAATCCATTATTTAGGCTTTCAATGCCTATAGAAAATCCCACCTTGTTTCGATAACTGCTGTTTCAGTTCCCCACATAAATCAGAATGCTGATTTACATGCCCTCTGAATTTTCATCTTCTCGTAATAAAAGTGTGAAGAACGATGTATTGTATCAGTTTCTGTTTTCAGAATTACCCTTAAAAATAAAGAATCAAGGTCACGAACTCACGCCATACACAAACCTGAACTCAAAACGCATGAAATACTTGAATATAAGACCTGAAACTGTAAAAATGCTAGAAGAAAACAGCGACAGTACACTCCTTGAGATAGGTGGTCATCAATGGAAAAACAGACAAAGAAGAGGTACTAGGTATTTAATGGAACACTATTCAGTCATAAAACACATGAAATTTGCCATTTTCCACAACATGGTGGGACCTGGAGGGTATCATGCTAACAACGTAAGACAGGCAGAAAAGACAAACACCATATGACTTTACCCATATGTGGAAAATAAAAAAATTACAAGAAAAAATAAAGAAAGAAAAAAATTAATGATGAAACCAAAGGGCACCAAAACAAACACATAGATGCACAAGACAGAACACTGGAAACCAGAGGGGAAGTGGTAGGTGGAAGGCCCAATTTGTAAAATGCCACAAGATGGTAAAAGACAGAAACTAAGTTTTTTGTCCTGAGCAGGTGCATGGTATACAGGAGTTGAAATATATTGTTGTAAACATAAAAGTTATCAAATATTATAACTGAATGATACCTCAGTAAAATAAATAAATAAATAAATAAACAATAGAAAAATGTAAATTTAAAAAAAATACAGAATCTTTACCCCATTGCCTAAAGCCATATCACTACATATGTTGACCACTGTCCTATTTCTCTGGGCAATTAACTGAACACCAAATTTACTTCAAACCAACCTGAAGTCCAGCTGTGCTCCTCCTATCTGTCAGTAGAATCTCAGAAAATTGGGTGCTGGACAAACCCCACTGGTCGAGATGCAGCTTCCAAGGTGGCTGAGGAAGGGTCCATGGGGCAAGTTTTCTTTCCGAGCTTACTTTTATGCTGCTCCAAGCTCACAGGACCTTGTGAAGCCTTTTGTACCCAAGGAAGGAAATCTGTCACAATCCATAGACAATAGAATTGGTTGCTCATCCTCCTCACACAAGACTGTTTTTCACCCTGACTGTTCCCCAGAATCCCTTGTGGAGACTTGAAAAGTAATGATGGGTCAGTATCATCCTTGTATGTGTTCCTGTAAAGGGACTCGGGCCTGTGGTTTGGGAATTGTGCTACTTTGTGCTACAAGAACACAAGTCATCCCAGTGGATATCCTGGAAGAATTTCCCTCGAGATTTATATTCAATATTGGTTTGTGTTGAAGGATAAATTCCAAGTCCTGCAGACAAAGTGGGGAGATCTGCTTTGTGAGAACATTCATTTTTTTCTTGGGGAAAAGTATGTTGCACTAATTATTTTAAAAACTGGCTTACATGATGGCTGATAGTTTTAGGCATTTTATATTCCTGGAGGTTTATTCCATGAGCTTATGTGGGGGTAACGAGGCTGGGTTCCTCTTTAGTGAGACTGCGGGGTGCATAATTCAGGAATCAGCTGAATAAGATAGAGAGTATGATCGTGGAAGGAACTCTTCATCCACTTAGCTCAATTCAGAGGTTTTGGGACAAAATAACAAAAGAGATTTCTGAGGTCTGGGAGGGCAGACATGCCCGTCCCTCTAGCCCCAGGTGGTTTCCATCTGCAGAAATATGTTGAGGGGCCTCAAAAAGTGTAGGACTAGATAAATGTCTTTGAGACTTCCTCATGACCTTGCCTGACCAGGTTGGTGACATTCTGGGAAACCTGGCCAGTGGAGCTGAAGATCAGAGCTGTGTCACTACCAGGGCCTGAAAGGGGAGATAGGGTTGAGGGATGTTGAAATGAGTGGAGCTGAGTTGTGTGGAAAGAGCTGTGGAGAAAGGGGACACTCAGAGAGTTGGGCTGAGTCTCTGCCCACTTTCCAGGAGTGCAGATCTGAATCCCTGTGTTTACAGGGGCACAAAGAAAACCAGACACCAACACTTGGCTCCTTTAGCCACAGACTTTATTGTTTGAATATTTGCAACTATTATTCTATACACAAATTTAATTTCTTCCAAACTCTACATTCTATATTGCTAGATCACTTCACTCTCCATTTTATGCTACATTCTCATGAAGAGGTATTTCACCAAATCACAATTTGCCTGAATATGTGTTAAAGGATTCTTTAAGAGGCTCCCCCTCCCACTCAGAGGGTCAGTTTTTTCTGATATGAAATCTAGCTGTAGTTCCACTTTGACTTTTAGGATTGTTACATCCTCAGTTGACTAAGAAATAAGTGATCACTGAAGACTTCCCTTCCTTCACGACACTGAGGGTGTGTTGTACAGTCTGAGCACACGTGTTCCAGAGAGGTTGCTCTATGAAGAAAGAATTTCTCATGACTTTATATTGATTCACTTCTCCAGGATGAATTATTTATAAGTATGCTTTGGTGTTGCTCAACATACTTGGGTATTTCTCAAGAGTTTACATCTTCGTTCTTGTTTATGTGTTTATTTTTTGGAGGAGTTTCTTGTGCACATCAAGCCTGGTGATCAGCTGAATGTTTGTTAACAGTCATTACAGTCTTAGTGGTTCTCCACCTGGAGTTGGCTCGTGTAGAATAATAATTATCAAAAAAGAACTAGGGGTTGGTTATCCTCTGCTCAAGTCTCTAGGGCAGGGGTCCCCAACACCTGGTCCACGGCCTGTCAGGTACGCGGCAGCACAGCAGGAGGTGAGTGGCAGGAGAGCGAGCCAAGCTTCATCTGCTGCCCCCCATCACTCGCATTACTGCCTGGGCCATTCCCCATGCCACTCCACACCCCTCCGGCCCGTGGAAAAATTGTCTTCTACGAAACCAGTCCCTGGTGCCAAAAATGTTGGGGGCCACTGCTCTAGGGTCTTTAGAGTGGCGAGCTGTTGCTGAAAACATCCATATTGTATCTTTAGAGTGAGTTCTACTAAGTTACCTAAAATTAGGCCAATGATTAAAGGCTTTGCCACAGAGACAGGGCACGCACGTATGGATCCACATCCACAGGTGCCTATCTGGATTGAGAAGTGTGATGCCTGAACGAGTGTCCCTATTGATTACAGACAGAGTTTCTTTAGTGGGTGTGAACCTTGGTGTGGTTAATTGCTAAAGCTATGCTGGTGTTCCATCCACATTCCTCACATGTATGACACCATGTCATCTCAGGTCAGAACGTATACTGAGGGCCCTCCTGACTTTCTCTCCAGTGCTGGGTTCCCTCATGTCGTCTCATGGAAGAGACACGATTGAAGCATCTCCCACACCGCTGACATTCAAAGGGCCTCTCTCCAGTGTGGGTTCTCTCATGTCTTCTCAGGTTTGCACGCTGACTGAAGGCATTCCCACAGCGCTGACATTCATAGGGTTTCTCTCCTGTGTGGGTCCTTTTGTGCCGAGTCAGTTCAGAAATTTGAGTGAAGGCCTTCCCACACAGAAGACATACATGTGGTTTCTCTCCAGTGTGGGTTTTGTTGTGTGTGCGAAGTCCAGACCTTTGCCTAAAGGTTTTCCCACACAGATGACATTCATAGGGCTTCTCTCTGGGATGGATTTTCTCATGTTTTCTAAGGTAAGAGATTTGACTGAAAGTTTTCTTACACAGACAGCATTTATATGGCTTCTCTACTGTGTGAGTTTTCTCATGTCGTTTCACGTGGGAACTTTGATTGAAGACTTGCCCACACACATGACATTTATATGGTTTCTCTCCAGTGTGAATGATCTTGTGTTGCCTGAGCCTAAAGCAAGTACTAAAGGCTTTCCCACATAGAGGACATTCAAATGATTTAGCTCTAGTGTGAATGTGATCCTGTCCGTCAAGGAATGACCCTTGACTAAGTGATTTTCCATGCTGTTTGCTGACATTACTTTTCCTTCTTAAGGGAACTGGTGAATGCTGAGGTGAAGATCTAGGAGTAAATTCATCACTCAAATCAATCCATCCAACAGGATCCCCTTGCATGTGAGAAACCTGCTTTGGGAAAGAGATATGAGGCTGTTACTGGTTTGCCCACATCCATGCAGACACTCATGCCTCTACATTTACACCCTAGAGCATCAGTTGTTAATAGTCTCCTGTTAAAATGTCCTGTGTCAGTTGCATACACATGTTGTGTTACTCCCTTGCAGGCGCAAACGTTCTCTTTTATAGTTTCCCAACCCAGGTATCAGATTAATTTTGAAGACTTCAGTCTGTTGTAAAGACTATGAGATGAGCAACGTTTGTGCAACTGCCTTTTTTCCCTAGGTCTCATGTTGTGGTTTTGAGCTCATATTAATTTTTTAACTGACTTCAGCCTATCCAAAAATATTCCCAGAAAGAGCTCAATCTCCACTTAATTACATACAGGCAATTTTGCTCAATTACCAAATTATCTCACTGCCAGGTCCTTCATTTGGATGACTGTTGTTCTACCCATGAAACTTACCATTGGCATGGTGGCAGATATGTGCTTCCTGTGGACAATTTGCGTGAATATCATTTCTTGTCTAAGCGGACTTTCACCATCTAAAGATATGGAAAAAATATAGATTTTAGAATGGCATTAGGGAAATAGAAATGTAAACAAACACCAATGTCCATGTGAGTATCTTTCAAAAGTTGGCGCTTAGTTGGAGAAACAACGTATAATAAAGAAATACTCAAGGTAGTAGAAATACTTTAAAAGTCATTGTCTATTAGAAAAAAACAGAATTAAAATATAAAAATGTAATGTGGTGGAGAGACATTGGGTCAGCAAATGATGGAAAACACATTAAATGGGGCGATCAGGACAAGAATCACTATGTGAAAGTTTAACTGCAGTGAGTCCACAAGCACCCTTTTCCCTAAAGAATTGAAAATGGCAGGAAGTAATATGAATTTTCATTGCTAGATGCAAAGAATGATAACAACAGGAAGAATTGCAGCCCAATGTCCTCACTTCCAGTTTAGAATATATCGCTCACTTCATAAAACTTTCACTTGGTGTTTCCAAGGACTTAACACACTGTCTGAATCTTTCTTGCAGTGAAGCACAGGCCCCTGATTCTTACCTGGACTCTGGCCTTGGAGGCATCTTGTTGCTTCACTCCACAGCTCTTTTCCTTGTTCGAGCTGGGAAACCACATCTGATTTGCCGATCTGATACCCTACGGAGACCAGGTGTGTAATATTTTCCAGCATCACATTTCTGAACAGGGTTTTCTGGGATGTGTCCAGCAGGGCCCACTCTTCCTGGGTGAAGTTGATAGCTACATCTTCAAACATCCAGGCAACAACATCTTCAACAGACAAAACAGTGAAGGTCCTTCAGCAGACCAGGAGGAAATCCAGAGCAGCAGAAAACACAGAGAGGTCCTCTAGCGGCTGACGCCTGTGCACAAGTTCAAAGAGAGATTACAGAATCTTCAGTGTTTTCCAAATGGGAAAGATTAAAAGACTCTACAGTGGGCTGAATATTACTTTCAAACAGGAGCCAGTAAGGATAAGCCTTACAGGAATCATCAAAATTATGTCATATATACGACTCTGGTCTCAAGTCTTCATGGAGTGACTAGAACAGAAGAATCATTTTTAAAATATTTGATCCATTTACTTATGCATTAAAATATCCATTGAATCCCCAGTTCTGTTCTGAGTGTAAACACTGAGTAGCCACAGAGGTATGAAATGTGGCCAAGATTTCTTTCCAGCGTAGTAATGAAAAGTGCCGTGAAAAGAAACGTCTTCGTTTTAAGTAGTTATGAGGACTATCAAAGAATCAGGAAGGACTTGGAGTGGAACACGGGGAAGCTGATCTAAATGCCTGTTCAGTGAGTGAATGAATGGATTGGATACAGGTGCACGTACAATCGTGTGACAGACTCACCTACGGAGACCAGGTGGGTGATATTTTCCAGCATCACATTTCTGAACAGGGTTTTCTGGGATGTGTCCAGCAGGGCCCACTCTTCCTGGGTGAAGTTGATCGCTACATCTTCAAACGTCACTGATTCCTAAAATATCAGGATATTCTGGTTTAGACAGAGCAGTCCCTACCACTGTCCAGGGTGGGAGGGTTGAGATGAGGAGGTGATGGGGTCTGGGTGGATAAAGGATCACGCTCTGTGTGGGGTTCCCCTCGGTTCTCTGCCAGTGCTGAGCTGGTGTCTGCCTTTCAGGTACATTCACAGAAACCTACACACTCTGACGTCATGAAGCTTTATTTCACAGAAATATCACTAGAAGTGTGTTATAATACGACATGGACATTTTTTTAATAACCTGGGAATTAGGACTTCCAGACAGGTGATTATAAAATATTCACTTGCAAATTCATAACTCAATCTCTGTTCCCTAATAATTTCAAGGAACTGTACAGATTCATGACAAGACAAACAATAACCACGATGGGCTACTTTGAAAACATGACTTTTTTCTTAAGTTATTTCCCTAGGGGAACCTTTCATTCCCCAAATATGAACTGCTTTAATAACTTGTTATGAGCTTTAAAACATCCAAAGTATTTTTCTATTAAGTGGTTCCTGTCTAGCAAACCTACAAGAAATACATTATTTTATCAATCAAGACCTATGAAGGAATGCCTAGCATTCCTCAGAAGTGAACAAGATTCATACAGAACTTGGTACCAGGAGGTGTTTCCTCTTAACGCTACAGAACACAGGTGTTCATAACAAACTCTGATGGTTCAGAAGCATAAGCCGGGGACTCAGGTGGCTTGAGTGAAGGACAGACCTAGCCTGACCATCGCTGTGATGGGAGGACTCCCACTCTACATTCTCAGAGACCTAGACCTTAGTTATCACAGTTTCTCTTGTAATCTAATCTTTCATGCTGAAGGATGAAAGAAGCCTAGTTATTGATTTTGTTTTCTCCAGTATTTAAAAAATCTATAAAAGAACTTAATTTTATTGTACCTACTTTAGTCTTTCTCCTTTCTTTTTAGAACAATTAAGAACATACTCCTCCCCACATATTCCTTCCAGTTATCAAATATGAATAAAAGGTTAATTACTAACAGGTATATAAAATGTGTGATTTGGAGGAGGAATGCTAATGACAGTTTGGTGACTTTTTCAGAAATCTTCAGTAGTGCATATATACTGAATAATTGTGAAAGGTTTCAAATGGAGAAAAAGTAGAATGATTCCCCTTCAGTTCTAAACCTGTGTTCTGCTCTTGTCAACACTGAACAGCCTCACACCAGGTGGTGTAACACTGGATTCATTACATCGCAGGCTGTAACCTCTCACTCTCCAGGAACTGGACGGTCTGCCCCTTCCTCAGCTCTGCTACCTGCCATCACCAACTCCTAAGCCCAGCACATCCAAAAAACGGTCAACAAGTTAATCTTTGTTTGCCAAGCAGGACAAGGGTTGAACAAGTTAAAAGAAGTTTTCTTATCTCTTCTGTAAATACATATGATTAGTGCCACAGCTCTCATAAGTTTAATTAAAGAACGAGATTAGTTTCTGATTAGTCCTGACCCATGATAACTATCCCAGAGTCCTAGAGCAAAGTAATTTGAGCTCAGATGACTGAACACTGCCTGACTACACTTAGAACATACAAGCCAGTTTGAAAAACTCATCCATCTAATGGCACTCGGGGTGTAGCTTCAGGAGAAGGAGGCGTCGCTACTCACCAGAGGCTCCATTGTCAACAACTCAGTCGCCAGGAGTCTTTCTCGGGATTTCACTCACAGCCAATCCAAGCACTGAGCACGCAAATCTGAGGATGGAGAAGCAGCCATGAGACTCCAGTCCTGGGCACAACTTCCAGACCCTCCTGAAATGGAGCCCCAAACTGTCACCTGGGCGTGACCCCCAGCCCCTCAAACCAAAATAATTGATGCACTCTAAGAATCTTCTCTGCAGGGTAACATGTTAGAAGGCTACAGATGTGGATGCTAATAAAGAAGGTCAAACTACAGACCTCTTACAAATAAGCCATGATAAGCCTTGAGTTTTGTGTGGTCAGCAGCCTAGGGCATCCAGAATGATTCAATGTCCTCCTCGATTCAAACTCTTGGGAATCGTGACTCATGCCACGTGTAGACTGTGGTTTCCTCCTGTAGGGA